AAAATACATTTTAAAATATATTAAAAAAGAAAACAGTTATTTTAAATTGTAATACTGCGTATGTATATACAGTGGGTACGGAAAGTATTCAGACCCCCTTAAATTTTTCACTCTTTGTTATATTGCAGCCATTTTGACATCTGGTTCCATGTAGAACCTTAAACACCCATGGAACCTTTCAATTGCACAAAAGGTTCTTTACAGTGTAAAAGGGTTCTTTAGATGATTAAAACGTTCTTCACACTAAGAAAAATTATTATTTTAAGAAGTGTTCAAGTAAAGATTCTTTGGGGAACCAAAAAGGCCTCTTTTATGGTGTATATATATATATATATATATATATATATATATGAAATATATAAAAAATTACTACTTTTTCATATTTTTCAAGATTTCTATTTCAAATGTTGTTTATTAAAATTTGTTTTCTGTTCATTAAAAAATCCTGTAAAAAATGATCATCGTTTCCACAAAAATATGAAACAGCTCAACACTGTTTTTGACATTAAAATAATAAGAAATGTTTCTTGAGCAGCAAATCAAGATATTAGAATGATTTCTGAAGGATCATGTGACACTGAAGACTGGAGTAATGGTGCTGAAAATTCAGCTTTTCCATCACAGGAATAAAATACATTTTAAAATATATTAAAAAAGAAAACAGTTATTTTAAATTGTAATACTGCGTATGTATATACAGTGGGTACGGAAAGTATTCAGACCCCCTTAAATTTTTCACTCTTTGTTATATTGCAGCCATTTGCTAAAATCATTTAAGTTAATTTTTTTTCCTCATTAATGTACACACAGCACCCCATATTGACAGAAAAACACAGAATTGTTGACATTTTTGCAGATTTATTAAAAAAGAAAAACGGAAATATCACATGGTCCTAAGTATTCAGACCCCTTGCTCAGTATTTAGTAGAAGCACCCTCTTGATCTAATACAGCCATGAGTCTTTTTGGGAAAAATGCAACAAGTTTTTCACACCTGGAATTGGGGATCCTCTGCCATTCCTCCTTGCACATCCTCTCCAGTTCTGTCAGGTTGGAGGGTAAACGTATCAAATAAATGCAGCCATTGTAAGCATATTAAGACTTCTTTCAAAAGCATGTTTTTTAAATTACCGACCAGTAGCATAAATCCAAACAAAAATCACCTTAAAATTCAATATTCTATGAATCTCAAAGGATATGTAACATTTATGTGTGTCTAAAGTTAAAGTACATAAGTAAAATAATCATATTTTAGATGTTATCCACATGTATGTTTCCAGACGTTTCCTAAAACCAAGCGACACGTATGAATATTTAAATGAGACTGTGTTGAATGTCCCCTACTTCAAACAGTGAGACGGCATCTTGCTCTGCCAGTGCTTCGTCCACCTCGTAGCTCTCGTCTCTGTTGCCCTACAAGAGAGAAAGTACTGACGTCTTTGACCGAGAGAGTGAAATCCAATCTGAGTCGAGTCATTGAATCCTGCTTCTACTTATCTATTGAAAGGGGATCTGACCCACTGCCAAGCTCCAGTGCTCTATAGGATCAGGAGGAAGAGGGAGGGGCACTAAACACAGGCCAACAGAGAGCGCTTTACGCTGCTCAGGACGGTGGAGTGGTCATTTTGTAAGACCTAAGCAACCATTCTGATTTAGAATGAAGAGGATTTACCTGGAGAAGCAATGTTAGTAGTCTCCTAACATCCCCACTGGTGTCTGCTTCAATGTCTGCCTCCAAATCCCTGTCATGCACTGTAGACAACAACAACATACAGTTGATGCTTACTAAAAGTAATTTGCTTAATTTGCTAAAACAATAGATAAACTGTTCAAACTGAGGGAAAACATATACTGTGATCACGTAATTGTGACTGAACATTAGGGAACTGATGTTGCTATGTGGTTGCTAAGGTGTTCTGAGTGGTTACTAGGTGGTTGCTTACTGGACTAGAAGAGCCGACCTCCAAATCTCAACTATGGAACTTTTTCACAGACTGTGATGACACGTTTCCACAGTTATTAACATTGTGTTAGCACAGTATGTTTTTCTGCCTTTTGTAAAGTCATAGAAATGCTATCATTTTTTTTTTCTATTGGAGCCAATGAGAACGTAAAAATATGCATTGCAGTTTCGGTTCACCACTATAAAAGTTTACACAACTATGACGATTTTCACTTCTGAGAAACTCAGAAATGTAAAAAGTGTCTATATTCTGGTCCCCAGATGAGCCTACGAGATTTTTTTCCTCCATTATATTATCTTATGACTCTTTACCAAATTATATGAACCATAATGAATCTAAAATATGGTCAAATCTCGGTACAAATACTTGTTACATTACATATACAGAGGATTAATAACAGTATTTAAAATTTAAAAAATAAATAAATAAACGAACACGTAATAGATTACAGAGATGCAAACCCATCAGGGGTGACAAAGATGTTTTGCTTTTGGATTCATTACAAATGTACTATTTTAACAGATCTGAGAGATTGTATTGTACTGAAAAAAAATGAAGCATAGCAAGGGTAGGAAAAGTCACAAATCTCATGGCATTTAGATGAAGAGAAGGAAGAAAGGAAGGAAGGAAGGAATTAATGAATGAATGAATGAATGAATACAAAGCCCTGACCCCAACAGCCTAGAAGTGTTAACTATTTTATCTCGTTAACTACTTGAAAATACAAAGCAAATTAAATATGTGAATTATTAAAGGGTTAGTTCACCCAAAAATGAAAATTAGCTTGTGTTTTACTTACCCTCGAAGCATCCTAGGTGTATATGACTTTCTTCTTTCAGACGAATCCAGTCGGAGTTATATTAAAAATTGTCCTGGCTATTCCAAGCTCTATCATTGCAGTCAGCGGGTGTTGCAGTTGAACAGTCCACAAGTCGTCAAATAAAGCTCGCGCATTCATAATAAAACGTGCCGCAGACGGCTCTGGGGATGAATAAAGGCCCCCAGTAGCGAATCCATGAGTTTTTGTAAGAAAAATATAAATATTTCAAACGTAATAAACACTTTTCTCTCACTTCCGTTATATGTCATACGCGGATCCGTTCCGGCAGAAGGCGTATGATGTATGCCCAGCGCGCGCGCCTCTGAGATATGCTAGTCTCACGAGTTTGTTTAATAGGAGCAAAGGAAGCAAAGTTCCTTACTTTAGCAAAGGAAAACCAGTCTCCTCTTGGTTTATATCGAAATCCTCCGACATTTTTCTTTGCAAATCCTCATTTTGTACTTCTAATAAGTGACCGTTTTTTTGTCTCCCCTGCGCTTCCACATTCGTCACTTCTGAGCGGCGCATGCGCAAGGACTGTTCAACTGCAACACCCGCTGACTGCAATGATAGAGCTTGGAATAGCCAGGACAATTTTTAATATAACTCCGACTGGATTCGTCTGAAAGAAGAAAGTCATATACACCTAGGATGCTTCGAGGTTAAGTAAAACACAAGCTAATTTGCATTTTTGGGTGAACTAACCCTTTAATGCTAATTATAATTAAATAATGCATTAAATATCTTTTAAATATGTTAAGATTTTTAAAAAATCTAATACTTTTAAACACAGCTTTAAAAAGAACACTTGATGAACAGATCTATTTTGACATAGGCTTGTCAGATGTTTTGTCCTGTTCGTTGTCACTGTTATCGCTGTTAATCATAGCAATTTCAGGAGTGACTCACGGAACAATTTAGCAAGCTCATTCCTGTAATTCTATGCGTTTGTCACTCCTGAAACTCAGCAGTATACGTGGACGTAGGTCCTCTTAGCAGCATGACAAACTAAACTTTTCTTCAAATTGTGAACGGATTAAATAAAGAAAATGAGCAAAGAGTGCTCACTTTATAGCACGACTGACTGAGCTCACTCATGTGAAAACTTATAATCAATTAATCTAATTTCTAATAGCTTATTTATATCAAGTCTACGCTTTGTTTGTTATAATGGGAGGATTTGAGATCGTGTAGAACTTCAGTTAGTAAATTTGCACTAAACAGAAACTTATTTCGTGTTTTGAAGGATACTGAGCGGATTCTGACTAACTAAACACCTCTGATTGCCCCTTGCTTTCAACAGACATGCCTGTTTTTGCCAATAAAAATCAACGCTGCAAAAACATGTTGCAAATAAAAAAAACCTTAGCCTTTGTAATAAGAAACCAGAGCACGCACAAATACGCACAGGAGCGTTTAAAAAGCAGGTATTGAGTTTGTACCACTGGTAGCCCAATTTTACCCCTCCCCCAATTAAAAAAATTCAACAGATCTAAGCGAATCACACAAATGACCTATTCTGGATTCAAAATGGCAAATTTCCCCCAAAAGTGACAAGTTTGCATCCCTGAGATTAAGGATTGCTATTGTAATTATAATCAGCAAAGAAATCCTGCTAATTTTGATGCAGCAAATTTCCACTGTCAGACTGCAGTGAATTCTACCACAATATTTATAATTGTGGGTTTAAAATGTTAAAATATACATAATATTATGCCCTTAAAATAAAATGATTTATTTTGTCTGTAAGGGCACAATATTATGTATATTTTGTAGTGCTGTCAAACGATTAATCGCGATTAATCGCATCCAAAATAAATGTTTTTGTTTGCATAATATATGTATGTGTACTGTGCATATTTATTATGTATATATAAATACAAATACACACACATTCATGTATATATTTCAGAAAAATTGGTTATTTTTATATATTAAATATATTTTTTTATAATATAAATTATATGAATATAAATATAGACATGTAAATACATGTATATATTTTTAAAATATATATACTGTACGTGTGTATTTATATATAGATAATAAATATACACAGAACACACATATATTATGCAAACAAAAACTTTTATTTGGGATGCGATTAATCATGATTAATCGTTTGACCACACTAATATTTTGATTTCAGAAGAGTTTGAAATCTGGCTTTCAAATGTTCTGCAATATGTAAGAATTTCAGGAAATTAAAAACTTTTATTGCAAAAAAAGCAACTACATATTTTCCAGTTTATGGAACCTTTTGAGTCACAAATACCGAGAAATGTAGATTACTTGAAACTACATAAAAAACCATGTTAGACGAAGAATTCCATCAAATGGTGTCCCAACTAGTCAAACATAGCTGTCTGAACAAAGAATTTAATTTGAAACTGAACAATTATTGCTGAAATGTTAAGGATTTGTGAGTTTCCAGCAGGTATTGCAGCATGAATAAATTATGTGGTTACTGTTATACGAATTTTTTTTTTACTGTTTGCTAATTTTCATTTAAATCTTTGTTGTTGTTTTGTCATTATTGTTAGTTATTTGCTGTGTTGTGACTTTTCACATTTATCGATCGTTACCATTCTTCAAATCTGTGTTGAGGCCCATCAAATACATTATATACCAGATATCTTTGCTTTGTAAGGTGAATGTGCCTTCAGACACAAAGATAGCATAGTTCTCTTCACATATTAAGTGTCGATTTTATATTAAATTTTAATATATATTATATTGTAATTAGTAACAAAATAAAGTGTTGCATAGGACAATTTTTAAGACAATAGTTAAGAGAATTTAAAAATCTAAATGCATCATGTTGAATTTTTCAGCTTGGCAGTGTTGAAAGTATATAGGTTAAGTCATTCTTACCATAGACGTAGGTTTCTATGTAATTGGCAATCTCCTGTTAGAAAACAAGAAGAATTAATTGACTCATTCCATGGACAACCATTTGTCCCAGCTTTGGGAATGGTGACAAACACAGGAACTTGCAGAGCCTTTCAATTCAAAACAAAATGACATACAGCATTGGTAGCACTGCACAGAATCTCCACCAGGACATCCTCATCTGTGCCAGCGCCCTTCATGGCCTTCCTGAGCTCTTTAACAGCAAACACATGAGGAGGATCCAACATGGCAAGAATGGCATTCTCAAAATTACCAGACAGCTCACTCTTCAAAACCTCCACCAATTCCTTCAGAGAAAACACAAAGCTGTGAGTGCATGCTCTTTATTCTTAAAACATGTCCAAATACTAGAGGCCGACCGATATATCGTTTTGCCGATATTATCGGCCGATATGAGCCTGTCGCCGATATATCGGTATCGGCGAATATGCCGCCGATATGAAATTTTTTTTTACAGAACATATAATGCAGATAAAATGCTTGAAATGGTGTAATTACATAGTTTGTCCAGCAGAGCGCGCTCCATTCGGCCCCAAAAAACCCATATCGGTCGGGCTCTACCAAATACCATGCTCCAATTTCTGTGTGACATAAAAGAATGATGTTTTCAGAATACTCACATCATCATATTTCTCAAAATATGCATGTTTGATCTCCAGTCTCTGAGCTGCACTTCGATTGGCTAGGATGTCTATGATGGCTTGCTCATCAGTTCCTTGAAAATTAAATAGAAAGACTGTAGTTGTATGGGAGATTAATTTGATAAACATACTAAACACTGATTAAAAAAGACTGACTTAAAGGGATAGTTCACCCAAAAATGAAAATTTGATGTTTATCTGCTTACCCCCAGGGCATCCAAGATGTAGGTGACTTTGTTTCTTCAGTAGAACACAAACGAAGATTTTCAACTCAAACCGTTGCAGTCTGTCAGTCATATAATGGAAGTGAATGGGAATCACGGCTTTGAGAGTCAAAAAAGCATACACAAACAAAACCAAATTAAACCCTGCGGCTCGTGATGATACATTGATGTGTAAAGACACGAAACGATCGGTCTGTGCAAGAAACTGAACAGTATTTATATCGTTTTTTACCTCTGATTCACCGCAATGTCCGAGCTGCCACCTATCTCTCAAATTGACCATTGACACTCTATCTACAATCTCAATTAGGAGTGTCAATGGTCCATTTGAGAGATAGGTGGCGGTAATGCACTTATAAGTCTGTGATCTGCCGTAAAGCAAGAAGAAGACGCGAACGTGCTCAGGACGCGCTCCGGACAGTTCAGACATTGCAGTAAATCAGAGGTAAAAAACGATATAAATACTGTTCAGTTTCTTGCACAGACCAATCGTTTCGTGTCTTTACACATCAATGTATCATCACGAGCCACAGGGTTTAATTTGGTTTTGTTTGTGTATGTTTTTTTGACTCTCAAAGCCGTGATTCCCATACACTTCCATTATATGACTGACAGACTGCAACGGTTTGAGTTAAAAATCTTCATTTGTGTTCTACTGAAGAAACAAAGTCCCCTACATCTTGGATGCCCTGGGGGTAAGCAGATAAACATCACATTTTCATTTTTGGGTGAACTATCCCTTTAAGCATCTCACCTAAACCTTTGCAGGCTTTGCGGATGGCCTTTATGTCAGCAACTACATCAAAGTCTTCATAAGGAACAACGGTTGGCTGTCAAATAAAAGAAAAGAGAATTATATCCAATGTTCATGTTTTATCCTGTTCACATAAATTACATAATTTAGTAATATAAGCCCAGATCACTAAATTCATGTTTCAGCCTTTAACAGTTGTGAATTTTTGACCTTGCTTTGACACTAACAGCCATTAATATTAGTTGAGGACATTTATATGTGCCAACTGTATTAAATATTGATCATAATATAAAATTTAAAATAAGTCGTCATGTTACAACTACTCCGGCTATTGCAAAAAAATTAAAATGTTACTTTATTATTACTGAAGAAATATTTGCAATTTTTGCAGCTATCAAGAATAATATATAATATATAATAATTAGTTGAAATAAGTTAAATCCGGTTTATTAAAATGTATCGATTGGTTGATAAGTAGAGAATTTTAATCTAGATACTTCCATAAAATATTATATCTTACATATTTTAAAGATTAAAAAGTCAACCTAGAGATAAAATAGATATAAATTAATGCAACTCGAAAATATAAATAATAATACACTTTAAAAAATACGGTGGCAGAGAAGTGCAAAGCAAATCACAATTCTGAAAACAAAATAACAAATTACAAATGCAAATACAAGTCTAAAAAACAAAATAACAATTCAGAAAGCACAACAACAATTCAGAAAACATTATAACAAGTCAGAAAACACAATGACAAATTCGAAAACAAAATAACAAGTCAGAAAACACAACGACAAATCAGACAAACCGGAAAAGGTAGGTATAGTTTGAGACAGCGCCATTGAATTTGTCATTGTGTTTTCTGACTTGTTATAATGTTTTCTGAATTGTTATTTTGTTTTCAGAATTGTGATTTGTTTTGCACTTCCAGGCCACCGTAAAAAAAGCTCTTAAAAAGTCTATCAAGCATTACACTTTTTGTAACTGAGATTTATTGGTCCCCCAGTCTCCCCCATATGAACAAAAGCTCAGGAGTGCTCAGTGGAAGCGTCCTGTCCTGTTCAAATTCACTGTAATCCCAGATGGAGGCCCCTGCACACTCACAGGCCAAAATGAAACTGAGTTCGTCCCAGTCAGTCTCCTCCCAAAGCGCTTCCTCTGACTCATTCAGAATAACGGGATTCTGATACATTCCGTCCCTTTACAATATCACATATAATCGAAATCGCTATAAAACATATTCGAAAAGTGAAAACACAAAAGGTTTTTAATATTTAACAACAAAAGCAACCCAGGAAACCTCAGAAAAGAAACACGAGACGCGTATCATTCAGAGTTCACGCGATATAAGGGCTGCGTTTGCAAAAGCAGCCCCGCAGCGGAAAACGCAGCCCAGAACAGTGAGATATCCTAACTGTCTCTATTCTTTTCTCTCTATATTCTTTTTTTTCTTCTTTTCTTTTTTAAACCGATATGAATTGATCGATTATGCGACGTGACCCGTACAAACTCTGCGCAGGATGTCGACGTTCAGCTCTCTCTGACGTTGACGTATGTAAGGTGTGCATTAGCAGATAAAAAATGAACTGAAATACTCACTTGACAGTTTCCCATGGCGAGAGCTTGAGGTATTTTATGAGCAGATGATCTGACCGCTGTCCGAACTGCAGGCCACACTGGCGCGAGAGCTTCTGTAACTGACGTCAGCACGTAGGGAAAGAACCAAAGAACGGGATGGACGCACTCATGAGAGTTCGGCCTCTGCATTTTTGAAAACCATTATAATCATCTATACATTATTATATATTACTTCTGCATGCATTATAATTATTAATTATGTAAGTCTAACGTGTTTTTTTTTTCAAGCAGTAAGAAAATAGTTGAAAAAACATCTCAAAACAACAACACACGACCTCAAGATCTAAAACCACATATGACCCAACAGTCATTTAAGTTACTATATTCAGTTTTTAAAAATCACAACTGAATAGGAGACACGAGAACCTAAATATAACCTTCCATTTCTTTTGCACCTATAGAAAGAGAAAGGTCGCCCCCTACTGAGCAATCATCATCTGGATGAGCAATACAGTATATTCCAATACAAGTTCAAGTGTTTTACCTCTGAATCTTGTCAGCAACATTTCAGTCTTATGATGGCTTTTAACATTAGACACGTTCAGAAGCATTACACGTGTATCTAATTAATGTATTTTAGTTATTTATTATTTTATTTTGCTCAATTACAAATGAATGCTGATGTAAAGTGTAGAACATTATAATGTACAGATTAAAAACTTCACTGACAACAAGAAGAGAGGGATTCATCTCTCTTGGTTCAATTGTGATTCTCGTACACAACTTGATAAAACACTCAAAGCTTTTAATCTAAATAAGAGTTCAATATTTCATGTTAAACTAATGAATGCATTCAAGCAGCTTACATCACATTTGTGCATGATGAGGAGTTGCAATTAAAATATCCATTATTTTGCCTTATTAAATCATGCTTCTATCCAGCTTCTTTTCCTTAATTACCTGTTGCACTTCATTCCACCACCACGTTTGCTTGTCATTGAATATTTGTCCTGCCTTTGTTCCTCGGCTCCACTGCTCCACATAATCTGCACTGTTTGATCACAATTCACCACAAAGTTGGTCAGTGCAGCTGCCAGCTTATTCTTGTGCATGATAATTTTCCACCATTTAATCTGTTTGGGCCAGTTGGGCATCTTTGCCTATTGCAGGTGGTCCATTTGGATGTCTAGGGATGCTATCATATGGGATCACTTTGATGTTGGTCATCAACAGGTCTCCCCGCTGACCCATCCGGTAGTCAATTTGAGTTGCGTGGCTGCCACTGCTGTAGGTGACCAGGTGTGTTGGTATTTTCTTGAACTACATTATTAGTCACGACTAGTGTATGACATCTGCTGTCATTTCGCATGCTGAGTCTGTGACCTCCATGGCACTGTGCATATCCTTTTCCAATGTGACCATTCAGGTCACCTCCCAGGACGGTGGACTTGTTTGGTGCAATCTTACCTTGGTGCATGTCAAGACATCCAGTCTGTGGTGCATAGCAAGAGATTCGATCATGATGAAATACCTGTTAAGGCCATCACTCCCTGAAGTCTCTGTTGCAGCCTTGGTTTCTGAGATCCCTTTCATGACTGCCATCTCAAGGTCCCTCCTTGCGTCCAATTATGCCCACCTCCCTACAGTACAATATGATTAGGCAGCCCCTAAATCATATGTTCAATATGTGCCAGCCAGAGGAGGACGGGTCTTCCCTGTTGAGTTCTGGTTCCTCCCAAGGTTTCTCCCTATATATTTAATCCTAAATTTTTAGGGAGTTATTCCTTGCCAGTGTTGCCTTTGGTTTGCTCACTTGGGGTATTAATGCACTAATACTGCCTTGAGGTTCTTGTTACTGTCATCATCCATGAGGTGCCTGTCTTGATGACCACTCCAGAAATACCCAACGCCCCCAAGGTCTATGTTACGGCCTTGGTGTCTGAGATCCCTTTAGTGACCTGCATTCAAATATGCATACCTCCTTGCTATATAACAGGCAGCCCCAGAGTCCAGGTTCATGTCACAGACCCACAACCCAGGCCCTCTTTAGTGTCCACAGCCCAGGCACCCCTCAGCACCACGGCCACAGCCCAAGCATCCTTCAATGCCATGGCCAAAGCCCAGGCACCCCTCAGAGTGCAGGCAAAGCATTGGCACCCCTTTGCTGCTATACTCTGCAGGACAGTGGTCCTTCAGGACCGAGTTTGGACACCCCTGAGATAGGTGTTGTGAAGGTAAGTGGTCTCAGTCATTCAAATGTAGCAAAATCATAATTAATATTTAATATAAGTTCCCTTGCACAGGGTCACTCAGCACTGCATCATAGCTGACATTGGGAACTCCTTCCAGGTGAGATGATTGTCTGAAGCTGCCAGTCATGTTCGGAGCTGCATCTAATGTCAGTACTGCAGGTGTGCCTGGCTGATCTCTTCTCAGAGATATGGATGAGGACTCATGAGAAAGTCAGGGATTTTAGAGGAGCATTTGATTTGGCACTTTGTGCCATCAAACATACAGCTCATGAGATTGGCTGCTCCATGGCAGGTTGGTTGAGATGGAGAGACAAATGTAGCGAAACCTCACAGATACTCATGATTCTCGGCTGGGGCTTTTCAGTGATGCTGTGAATGCTGCCGTTGATAAGTTCTGCAGTGCAAGGCAGCAGTCAACATCAGCCGGTACCGGATTGAGTCAAAATGCCCTTGGCTGTTTGATCCACAGCCTGCCCATGCCTATTGACTCCTGACATGCACCACAAAAAACAAGGACTATGAACTCTGGTTCTCACAGCATCATCTGCTGTAATGATTGAACCTCTAAAAAAAACATCTGTTACATATATAACCCTGGTTCCCTGAGTAGGGAATGAGACATACTCCTTCAGTACTGCTATGATTCCTCATAGAAAATGATAATAATCAAAACTAAACTGGAAACAGTTGTATGGTATTCTATTTTATTCAATTTTTTTATTCTGCACTTTGAGGTTTGGGTTGAGTTCTGTGTATATTAATTACGTTTCGGATGTAATTATCATCTTCATGTAAATTTAATTTCCTATTTGTAATAATTCTCAATAGCTAGTTTCTGATCACTATATTGTCTGATTTGCAGCTATAGTCCAAGGCTGCTCGAGCCCTAGTGGTCAATAAAACAAGACCTGTATGCGGGAGTGGTCTTCTAAAAACAAGAACTACATTTCAGTATAACTATGTCACAAGTCAAATTACACAAATTTTAATTAAAGTTAAAATTACAAAACAATACTGTTATAATAAAAAAAATAATGTAATAAAATAATAATACTTAAAGTTAAAATGATAATAATAATAATGACACAACTATATTCTTTCCCATGTCAAATCACATCTGTAACAGAATCAGACCTACAGAAGAGTGTACTGTATATATGCACGAGTGCATTGCCGGCATGTTGAGGCTATAACGTTTTAATAATGTGGGTGTACTACCATTAAAGCATTTGACAGCATAACAATCCATACTCAATGTTAAAGACCCCATGACGTGCATATGTTTTCTAGCTTTTTATTCATGTCTGTTAACTTGGAGGTCATCACATGCTAGCAGGTATCCAGCACACGAACGGATCTGTTGCAGCTGTGCAAAATCAGCTCAGCTTAAGAAGTCACAATGGGGATTTGTTTGTGATGTACTGTACCTGTAGCTCCAAGATACACCATTCAAAATAGGTATTCTTATGAAATTCCAATAGCTAAGAGGTTATGAAATGGCAAATAGCTACACAAATTTTTGCCCAGTAAAAGTGACCTGCCCCAACTACATTTGCATTTATTCTTTTTATCCAGAGCGACTTACAAATGAAAATCACAAGCGATTCATTACAAAGAAGCAAAAAAAAAAAAATGCCAAGAATTGCTAGTAGAACAAAGTTTCAGACAGTGCTGAATGGACCTTTTTCACATCTCCGGGTTTCTCAGCAGCGGAAGTCGTCATAGTTGGGTTAACTTGAAGAGCAGTGAATGGGAGAGTACCACAAATACATTTTTTGCATTCCCATTTGCTCAAATAGCAAAAGAAAAACTCCACGATAGTGTTTTCATGACTTTCAATAAAAGGAAAAAAATTGAGAGAGACTGATAACGGCTGTCAGAAGAGAGCATGATGTCAAATTTACCGTCCCTCCCACAGAGGCTGCATTAGAAACACCCTCGCATTAGCATTAACTGTTTTTTTGTAATTTGATGCAAAGGTGATATAATACAAAGAATAGTGTTATAAATGTACATAGATTAAAAAAAAATACAAATATGAAAATCTTTCAAGGATTTACGATGCTGATGACCGTTAAACGCGTCATCACAGTCTTGTGAAAAGGGTCCATAATACAGCTATAACAGGGAAGGATTAAGGAATAGTGAAAGCATAGAGGAAGATTTTTTTTTCCCCCACCAGTTTTTACAGGAAACTAAATGTTCTGACGTTCTTTCGTTGCATTTTTATTTGTTCTCTTTCCCACTAGATGTCAGTACACCACAAAAGTAGTAGAAGGTTTAGAAAAACTACTGGGAGCAGTGTTGCCAATTTAGCAATTTTGTTGCTAAATTTAGCAACTTGAAATAGATACACGTATTTTATAACTATTTATTCAAAATTCTAAACGTATGTCATGCTCTATTCACTGCACCGTACTTTTCTGTAGAATTATAATACCAATAGTTATTTTCTTACCATTTCTGCAGAATGCGTATGTACAGGCTGCAGATATGTATTTGAATACCCAGATGACCACATATGCCATTTTTCCCCCCAACTCAATATCAATGATCAATGGATAACTGGTGGATGAAGTTTTTACTCAAATTTCATTTAATGCACCCCAGGTCTTTATAGCTTCCTGGTCTTTATAGGCTCAGCTCCTCCTCCAAAGTGTGCCAAGTGCTAGTATCAAGGTATCCAAACAAACAAGTAAAATAAAATTTAAAACAAATGTTTAATGTTGAAGATTAACCAATAGGCTGTCGATTTATTAAATAATAAAGCTGTTTCCCAACAATATCAGTTTATTCAACATAAAAAAAAAAAATAAATAAAAAATAAAAAAATAATGCTGTCTTATTTCTTTCTCTGCGTACTGCAGCTTTAAGGTACTGTCAC